AAAACCTTGGAGGGAGTGCGGTCACCTTTATTGCTTTTCCCCACTTTCCAAGATCTGTATTATCTCTTACTAAACACCAAATGTAGCTGCAGCACTCTTCATTTGACTTGAACAGGCTCCCATTGTCGGTTAAGGTCGATGCTGGTTCCTTCTTTATACTAGTCTTCTCTTTGCACTTCACTGGACACTTAGTCCCCATCTACCACTGTTTGCTAACCAGGACCGTTAGGCACCGATCTTCACTCTTTCTCTTCCACAGATTCTAAGGACAACAGTGTGTGAACACTTTTCTCAACTTACTGAAGGTTCATTAGTCTTAGTTTTGCTTGCTAACCTCCTTATTCTGGAAATGGTTTAAAAAACATCATTATAATCTTGGTTTGGCCAAGCATGGTTTTCTCTACTCTTCCTGAAGTTTGTGAGTTAAGAACACAGTGTTCAGCTCTTCTGCTGATTGATCAGTCTTTAGAGAGTGTGGCCTGTGTTCAGTCTTTCTTATAAGACTGAAGCTGCAGCAATATATTGGATTGGTTTCATTTGAGGTGGTTGTACTATTTTTCTATGCCCATGAACTCTCTATGCTAACCCTAGTTTGCTTCACCTACTGGACTGTCTCGGTTCTTTCTCAGCAAAAAAGTGGTTTGTTTACTTTGAATCCTGTAGTTGTATTTTGTGACCTGCTCTCTGTCTACTGGATCTCACCCTTCAGTGCTCCCCATGTATGTGTTCGAACTAGAGTTTACTCGTCTATTCAGCACGTAGTTAATGTTTTTCTGTATACTCTGTTCCAAAGAGATTTTAGATACTTCTGTAAAGAGTCTTTCTTTATGTTTTGGAAGTTACATAAGACATCTGAACTTTGAAGTAGTTTACCACAGGCCTCCTCAATAGGAAAATAGTTACTGTTAATTGATGCAGTTGGCTTGTAAATTCTGGTTGTAAGTTTTTCTAGATACATTGCTAAGACCCTTTGAAATGGCTAATTTGGGAGTTGAGTGTAGTGTTCTCTAGTATTCAACAGTGGCGACTATCTTGTGTAACAAAAAAAAACCCGACAAAATTAAGTATAAATACAAAAAGAAAGTACCCTTTTGTTTAAGTGAACATCTTGCCAAGTGTACTTTATCTGTACTGGGGCATTATATTTAAAGTATTAAATATGCCTTGTGAAAAATACGAGATGTAGATCCAGTGACTTTTCTTTTAATGATTTTTTTTTCATTTTACTGTGTATTTCATAGGAGGAGTTTTACAATTGAAAATACAGTTTAAATAGCATTTATTCTTAATTTAGGGGTCAGGTTTCTTCTTCTTTTTTTTTTAAATACCCCAGATGGCTCTTACATGCTCTTGTGTGTATTAGGCACAGTGTGCCATAGTGTGCATGTGGAAAATGAATCCTCCCCACTGATGTTGCTGTTTGCTGCCAGCGCCTGAGATGCTCCTGTCTCTGCTTTACATCTCACACTGTGAATGCTGGCTTAGGAACTCAAGCTACAGTATCCAGCTTTTCACATGGGCTCTGGGGATCTGGGCTGTGCTCCTCCTGCTTCTGTGGCAAGTACTTTTGACTACTGAGCTGACTTCCAACTTGGGGAGTTATTGTTTTGATTAGATAGACTGCCGGCACAAGTCAGTGTTGATACACATGAAAAGGGAAATGTACTATTAGCTAGTGATGCTTTAAGAAGTTAACTGATTTGGCCAAGCATGATGGGTCACACCTTTAATCCCAGGATTTGGGAGGCAGAGGCAGGAGGATCTCTGAGTGAGTTTCAGGCCATCCAGGGCCACATAGACTCTGTGTCAAAAAAAAAAAAAAGGCGGAAAAAGAATTGATTTGATTTTGTTAGACTGGGGTTTAAATTTATTTTTGATTAGTTATCAAACAACCGAAGCATACATTTCATTCAGGGCTTTTTTTCCTGAGATTGTCTAATCCCATTAAGATCTTCATGTTTTATTTGATTTACAGTTTACAAATGGGCTTTCATAAGCAGGATATTATTTAGTCTTAAAACACTAGAAATTACTTGTCTTTTAAAGTATGTTTTAGAAGATGTAAAAATTGTCTTAAAGCTTTCCTTCCTTCCAAGTACTTTATGTCCACAAATTGGCATTACGTTAACTATTGGTGAGGTTTTCATTATTTTTAATGAAGTGGGAAATTGAGAGTAGAGGACTTTCAGTGCTGTTCCAGTGTTCATTGTTGTTTTATTGAGGAGGGGAGTTGGGTATTGGTTGGCAGGGGATTCTAGGTGCTAATGTACTGAGTTCATCTGTTCCTCTTGAGTGATCCTAAAGGACATGGTATGTTCAAAGATGGAGTCTCGTTCTGAAGGGCAGATGTAAGCTCTGTTTATTCCTATATTAAATCTATAGATATCAAAGAATGATTGCGTAGTTTCAGACTTTGCAGTGTGAAGCCACATGTGGTGGTGCATCTCTGTAGTGCCAATGACTTGACATATAGAAACAGGTTCACTTGAGCTCATGAGATGGTTACCAGTGAGGGTACCACAGCTAAACTAAGCCTTCCCCCCTTGACAACAAAACCAAACAATAGTAATTTTACATTAGCTGGAGCTAATACCACTGACTGAATGGCCAAAAGAAATCTAAGACCAAGGCACCATTATAGTCAGTGTCTTCTGAGGCTCTTCTTTGCCCATGTATCCCTAGTGTGTCTCTTAGAAGGGAACCAGCCAAGTAAGACTCACATATCTTTATGTGAACTTAGAGATCTTGAAAGACCATGTCTCCATTAGAGTTACATCCAAGGTGGGTCACTTCCTAGTTACACTGTTTGGTGTTTGGAGTTGAAAGGTATAATGACTCCACTATGTTAAAGAGGTGCTGTTATCACAGCATGTCTTGGTTTCACAAAGTCAGCTTGACAGAGCACTTCATGTGGCTCTAGTGAGCAACATGGACACAGATGAATGATGCATTTGAGAGTTCACTCCCCAGTCAGGACGTCAGGATTATGCTGGTAGAAGATGCTGTTGTGTATTTCTGAGGTCTTGTTCAGGAGGGATTTTATTGCCTGTGTATGACATGTTTTGGTTGCCTTTGAGGATATGATGCCGTTTGTTAAGATAGTGTTGTGTGTAAACTGTGACAGCTTCCACTGTTCGTATAGGTTGGTGACATGGGTAAAGACTTGGATTTCGCAGAGAGACCTAGTGCTGAGCTCCTCCCACTGGTCTCACTGTGTCTTGCACTTCTAGTAGTCATCAGAAATTAGTATTTAAGTGTTTTGAGTACATTGCCTTGTCCATAGGAATAGTTTTCTTATGTGTGAATCTTGCCGCATTGAAATGAGGAAGATAATACTGAAAAGGAAAATCAATGTGTATTTAGCCAGGTTCTTCCCCTATTATCTAGCAAGTCCTCTGTAAATGAAAATCCTCCCCCACTTTCATTTTTCCTACTATTTCAAACTAATGGGAAGAAGTATGTATGCCATGGTCACAAAGGTAATTAGCTGTACTCAAGAGTGGAATTCAAGACCTAGATCTTCCACACTGTTCCATCCACGGCTCCTGTGAAGCACCCATATTTTCCATCCTTTACTTCCTTAGGCATACTGCCTAATTTGTGTGCACTTAGTGTTATCCAAGTTGCAATGAGTGGTCACCAAAAAAAAAGTGATTTTTCTCCCACAAACCAGGAAAGTTGTAGGGTGTGGCCATAACCTTGTTGTGTTTGTCAGAGCTCCGAGGCTTGTTTGTAGTTCAGGTAGCCTTCAGCAAGTTCACTTCTACGTGAGAGCCACAGCCTTTTCAGTACTGCTTTTGTTAGCACATCTAATCCACACACAGTACCACAAGGAAGTGGAAGTTTAGTTCTCCTCAACCAAGGAGAACATTGGCACTTCTCTCTATGAATCAGGATGGTCATGGTGCAGTTGATTCTGGAACATATCTGCCAGAAGGTCCCTTTACTTCCGCATCCACATCTACCCAGTGTGATAGGCAAGGGCCATGTATACACAAGAGCCACAATGCAGCAGGACAGTTAGCACAAGCCCACGTGTTTGATGTGTCTTTATTCTGTGTAAGTGCCAGTATAGATTTTTGAATCAGATTAGTACACAATGGGTCAAATCTATCCCACCACCTCTCTGAAAGAGAGTTTTTGTTTTGTTCTTTTTGTTTTGCTTTCACTTTTAAAAGTGTTCTTGGGGGTGGGGAAGAAGACTAATATAATTTAACACAGTTATTGTAAAATATAAGCTGCAGTATCCACAAATAAAGTTTTATTGGAACACAGCCATGTTCATTTGTATTTACTGTTTTTGCACCACATGGTAACACCAAGTAGTTGTGACAGACTGTATGGCTGACAGAACCTCAACTACTTATTGATTGGCTCTTATGAGAAGTTTTCTGACCACTTCTTAAATTGTGAGAATAGATTTATGATTATATATACTTAAGTCATATCATAGTGTCCTTCTTGCCCTACCCAACCCTACCTAGTAAGAGAATGTGGTATTCTAAGAAGAACCGTGTTCCAGTTTCCTGCTTTTACACATACCCAGATCTTAAGACTCGAGTACCATGTTAAGAGATTCTGGGGTGTAGAGAGCAAGTCTGCTAGGTGTGTAGGCATGACAGAGTCAGAGGAAACAGCCGAGCACCTCCTTGCTGACTGCTATAAAACTGTGCCTGTGTTCAGTGGCTGATTATCTTGAATCTTAAATCTTTCTTTTCTTTTTTTCTAGTTAAGGAGACTTAAAAAGAGTAAATTTTATATTACATGTAATGTTGAAGGCCTTTGTGAATCCTTTTTTTCTTGACAGGATGTTATCTTATAGAAAAATAACACTAGTACGCTTTGATTGTGTAAATCCTTTTACTGTCAGTGGAAATAACTATGTTAATATTGCAAGGCAATGAAGAACCTTGTTTAACATCGTTTAATAAAATTAAATGTTTACATTTTGTTTTAATAAAACTTTACTGAGAAAATAATTAACTTTGTTTTATTTTTAGGGTTATATCCTGTGTTGTGACCTCATGGTTTAAGTGGGAATAAAGATGAGTATAAGCAGTGATGAGGTCAACTTCTTGGTATATAGGTACTTGCAAGAGTCAGGTGAGTACTTCTATAAAGTAATAGGCCTCAAATTCTTTTACTATTCTCAAAATAATTTTTTTATGCATTTGAAATTTGTACCAGTCCAAATCGTTGAGCTTTGTTTGTTTCTTGATGTCTGGACTTCCCGTTTAAAGCTGTGTTTGCTGCATGGTTTAACTCTCTGACTCTTTCAAATATGTTGGGATCATCTCAGGCAAATATAACTAGCAATTTGTCTTTTGATGTTCAGAGATCATTTTTAATAACTAAGGTGTTATGAAGTGGCATGGCATATGTTTAGAAAAATTCAGATACCATCAGCTTGGTAATATATATTGCATATGCACAGTTAATTTTCCTACTTGTTAGAATCTTAAAAGCTAAATTAATATTTTAGAATATTTTCTTAAGTATTAATCTCAATTTATTAAATATATTTTGACCTAAATTCTAATTGATGTATTGGTATAGTTATTAATATAGATCATTGAATGTGGTTTATAATTAATGTTGAAATGATCCAAGTTCTCTACATAAAGATATCTAATCATAAGATAGAATCAAAACTATGTTACTGGAGTAGGTAAAGAAATTACCACTTTTCCTTTCTGAGTAGCTGAGAATATGATGTCTGATGAAAAAGAGCAGGGAGGGAAAGAGCAGAGTAACCACCCCATAGAGAATAACCTATTAGGAAGCTTGGGATTTGTTTAAGCTGAGAAGATTTCCAGAGACTGTTTAAGATGACAAATCAAGTGACAAAATAGTGGCCCTCATAAAAGTCTCATTTGGTGTATTGGAAAGGCAACTGTTTGGGTCAAACCATTGGAACCTAGAATCCCAGCAACAACAAACTTCATTGACTGTAAAACTGGGCACTTAACTTTTGTCTAGAGAGTTCAACCTTGGTTCTGCCATCTAGCGTTATATGATTGTGGTCATTCAGTTGTATTTGCACCATTGACTTTAGGGGTGCTCATAGCAGTCAGTCAAATATTTAAACAATATGATATATTGTTTGAGTCATAACTTTTTCTCTTGAAATATCTAATAATACACACAACAAAAAGCCTTCTTACGCCTTATTGTATCCCCTATGAAGTAAGTAAGCCCGGGAGATGGAGAGAAAGGAGACCATGACAGATAATCTTAGAGAACTCATGTGTGAAATGACTGGACTAAAGTGTCTCGTTCTGGCTCTCAGGCAAGAAAAGCCTTAGGAAGCTATGGTTCTGTTTTGATAAATAATTGGCTTAGAAGTTATTGACCGGGGTTTCTGTCCCGCCCTGTCCCGCAGCCGTTCAGTCCCAAAGAAATACCCAGAGGTCTACATTAATTATAAACTGGTTGGCTTGGTAGCTCAGGCTTCTTATTAATTAATTAATTCTTACATCTTAAATTACCTCATTATTCTTGTCTGCATTAGCCACATGGCTTGGTACCTTTATTAGCGAGGCATCTGCGACCCTGCATCTAGGTGACGACTGCAGACTCTTTCCTCTTTCCAGAATTCTCCTGTTCTCGTTGTCCCACCTATACTTCCTGCCTGGCTACAGGCCAATTAGCGTTTTATTAAAATACAAGTGACAGTACAGACCATTGTCCCACAGCAAGAAGTGACATTTTTCAGTAAGAACTTGTAACATCTGTTCCCCCGAATACCGTTTTTAATGTTAACTAGACTGTGACATTCATATCTAGAAGATATGAAGCTATTTTTAGTCTTAAAATGTTTTATACTATTAACACTAAAAAACATGATTTGCTTCCAGATGACTAAATTCAAAGATGGGTTGCTTGTTGAAAGGAATGGCATCGTGATAGCTTAAATATTCAGTTGGGCCTGCCTTTTCAAATTGGCTGTCCCTGACTTGTCAAGATGAAGACAAAAGTGTTTTTATCATTGGACTTTTATTAAGTATTTTTACTTCATACTTCTCAATTTTGTCTCAGTTAAGTTTGTGTTAAGAAAGTTGCTGGGGTCCCCACCATTCAGCGTTTTTAGGATGCCAAACCAGTACAGCATATACCTATTAGGAAGTAATTTCTTCTTCCTTTTGAGATAACTTTAAAAATGTGAAATATTTGTTACATGTAAGTAAGGGTTGACTTGAATCAGTGCTTACCCTATTGACTTACCTGACAACCCTGTGCTTAGCTACCCAGTGGTCCATCATGAGTCATGGCGTTTAAGCCAGGCACAATGTTGACTAAAAATAACATGGTTTGGATATTTCCTACCACTCCACCTACATTCAGTTTTATTTGTTGGGTGGGAATGTTAAATATTTTCCTTGGTAATTTCTTGTGACCTTTCTGGTATTTGTTCTTCTATCTACTTTGTCTAAGGAGATAAAATTTCAGCTGGGTAGTGATAGCACACACCTTAAAACCCAGCAGTCAGGAGTTTGAAGCCAACCTGGTCTTCAGAGTGAGTTCTAGGACAGCCAGGGCTACCTGGTCTTCAGAGTGAGTTCTAGGACAGCCAGGGCTACGCAGAGAAATACTGTCTTGGATTGGGGGGAGGGGCATGACATATTCAGGAGCTCTGCAACATAGTGAACTTAGCTCTTAAAAGCATGAAACGGATGAATCTTAGGATTGACTAAGTAGAAACTGCAAAAATCAAAATGCACTTACTACTACTAAAGCTATTAAATCACTAGGTTATGATGTTGGAAAGTCATAGGGGAAAAAACTTATGGTTTTAGAACTGAGAGTCTCTACGCCACCACTCTTGTACTTCACCTCTCACTTTTGTAACCTCCTAGGTATGGGCCATAGCATTTGTGATACAGTGCTTATCCAAGTGATATGAAAGTGGGCCCCTGTAATCCAAAAATCTGAAATCCAGAGTGCTTCAAAATCCACTATCAAGTAATATTTTACTTGATATCCACTATTTTAGGGCAAGTAGATAATTCCTCATCTGACCTCATGTTAATAGGTCTCAGTTAAAATACAGGCCACACCAGCTATAATATTACAAAGAATACCTCTAGATTTTCTGAAACAGGTGCTGTATACCATAAGTGAATTTGTTTAAGTGTGGATCTCATCCCCAAGAGACAGTCTCATTATAGGAATGCTGATGTTCCAGAATCCGCAGTCAGTAGCACATGTGGCCATTTCAGACTTGAATTCCTGGGCCTGTGTTTCAGTTACAAGATCACCTCTCCAAACCCTGTGTTAACTCAGGCACAGTACAAGGAGAAGGTGTTTAGCATTGAGTGTCTGTACCCTAGTCACAAGTCACTCATTTCTCTTCTCTGGTAGTTTTCTGTTAACCTGAGTAGTGCTAACCAAATGTCAGAAACCAAGCGACAGTGCAGTTTCTTTTGACTCATGTACAAGTGATTAGAAATGAACCTTCATTACCCCAATCAAACCTCACTTCTCAGGTGAAACTGGCAATCAGTAATTCACCTCTGTACTGGAGAATAGGACAGGAAACCCAGGCTGTGTCCAGCCTCAGTTTTCCCTGTGTGTGTGTGGTTTTTTTTTTTGTTATTTTGTCTTCTTTTTTAATGAGAAGATGACTAGCTACAGAAGTATAGGTTAGCATTTGTGTTTCTTTATAATAATGTGTATAATAAAATAAAAAAGACCTAATTAAAGGACTTTTATACTTTCAAATCAGTTTTTCTTATTTTATAAGTGGAATGACCATTTTATATGGAAAAGTTGCCAGAGTACTTGCTCATTCTTAATCTTACCATTTTTCTTCTTTGTGTTTTATTGTTACTTTTGACACAGTGTGACACAAGTATAAAGAAGCATGTATCATTTGTGGCTTTATGTCTTTGCATAGTTCTTTGGAAAGTAGTGTGATGGTCATAAGGACATACTTTAAAAATTCTCTCCCTCCCTTCTTCCTTCCCTCCCCCCTTTCTTTCTCTCCCTCTCCCCCTCTCTCAACATACACACACATGTACACATGTGTATCTTTTGAAGGGAAAAAAAAACCACACATGGCCCAAGTCATGTATACAGACATCCAAGTCTTTACAAGAGTGAGCATTATGAAAAGCAAGATGTCGGGCTAAGGCATGAGTGACTCCCAGACTCAATGTTGTGGTCCTGGTTAAATAGTTCAGAGACTCTAATATAATCTTATAAACTCTAAGCTAGTTAGTGGGCTTGTTTTGTCTATTTGAGGGCGTGGTCTTACACAAGCTAGGCCCTTCTGTAAAAACGTTCTAGCATCAAGGTTCTCAGTCCTGAACTTAATTTTTAAAAGCAAAATTTAGGGCACAAAACTGTCCATCTTGTGCGTGAGTGATCTCCGTAGCTATGCAGAGTTGAACATTCTCTGTTGACACCGCGACACTGTCCTTTTCAAAAGGTGGGTCTAGAAGGCGCAGCTAAAGGGGTATGGGTAATATGAACAGGATACAATTTCTGAGCAGTACTGGCATAGAGCTTAAACAGGAGCTTGAGTAATCAGCTTCATCTCCCTTCTAGGACACTGCTGTGTTCATTTAAGCTTTGCCTTAAAGGGGGAAAAAGTAGTTTGCTTGCTCATCCACGTGCACTATACCATAAATATATTCAAGAACCATTTTTCCCTTTTTTCTGGAGTGACAGATTTTTACATATGCCAAAATGGTGGAGTAGCATTCTGATTTAACAGTTGATTAAATAGGTAACTTACTAGTTCCCAGATTTAAAGAATTACTGTTGTTTAAACTTTTCTCGGTGTCTACATGGAGTAGTCTGTGTAGGCGGTTTGGTTTGTATAATTTGTAAAGCGCAGGAGAAACTGATAGATAAAGGAGGAGAAGACCATCAGGGGTAGTGGAGCATGGTGGAGATGTTGGATGTTGTTTTGTAGACTTAATGTGTGCACTATGAGTGGGGCTTCTTCAGTGGAGTTGGGGAGATGGAGCTACGGAGAAATAGTTGTCTGTGCTATGCAAGTCTTTATTGTGATGGCCAAGGAGATTACTAAGAGGGGTTATGAAGTGATGCTGACAGTTTGAAGATGATTATTTAGCTAGTTGGAGGAAGGAAAGAAGAGCAGGTTTAGGGCAGGGGCAGCCCAAGAAGAGGGTGAGGTCCAAGGACAGGTACAGAGAGAGTCTCAAGAATGTACAAGAAGGATAGTTTGATTTGATGGTTGAACATGAAAAGCTGAAGGAGAAGTGGGAGTTTTTAGTGTACTGACCTTGTGGTGCTAGGAAATGAGTAGAACTAGAGACGCCATTCCAATGAATGTCTAATCAGATGTGCACTCATGGGCCTTCCCTGGGAGTAGCAGGGTGGAGAAGAGAGCCACCCAATACTTGCTCTGAGTTGTCCCCTTCTTGAAATCATTTGGAGCACATTTGCGGTGGCTGGAGATGTCCATGAGCCTTTCTCCAGAACTGGAGAAACAAATGCTATTCATACTCCACTTAAATATTTTATACTAAAATCTGCAATCCAGGATAGGAAGTTAGCTGTAAATTTAACTTTACCATTGAGTTTTTATGTATACTGTCTTGATCTACTTACCTATAATATAAAAATGATACAACCTATAAAAAAAACCACAGTTGTGTCTGCTACTGGAAGGAAGTTGGATAGGACCTGGAATCTGGTAGTTCTCAGTAATGTTATATTCAACGAGGATGTAGAGAAAACAAGTTTTACTCAGTTTATGATCTCAAATGAATATAACCACCTCGCATTTCTGGCAGTAAAACTAGTAAGGTGCCCTGGTGTTTCATAATGTGCTGTCCCTTTTCTCAGCCCCTGAGGAACAACTGAGCAGTGATGATGACTCTCTCAAGTGTAGTCTTGATGACATATTTTGACTTTTCAAAAGAATCAGGATGCAGAATGGATTTGATTCTTTACTGTGTCCTGTGACTGTTTCCCAGCCTGAGTTCATAATATAATGTAATAAAGATCTAATGTACTTTCCATAATGGCATCTTCTATTTCAAAGTCTTCCCAGGTGGCTGTCCCCACCCCATTTTTGGTTTGTTGAAGAACTTATTTGGGGACCATGTTATATACACAGAAATCTCCAGTCTCCAATTTCATTAGCTCATCTCCAGGCATCTCTCCTAATGCCTCCTGGACTTAGTCTTGCCCTTTTCTGCTAGTGATCTGGAACCTACTTACCTGATTTAGGAACTTGGGATTCTTGAAGCATACTTCAGAAAAGCGTCTTCCTTATCTCACAGCCACATTTGCCTCAGCCATCTTCATGACCTCAGATGAGGTTAAAACCAGGGTCTTAGAGAAATGCCCATGTCTCCTCCCCCAGTGTGGACCATAGGATAGGAATGCCTGGGAGGAGTCAGAGAGAAATGCCCATGTCCCCTCCCCCAGTGTGGACCATAGGATAGGAATGCCTGGCAGGAGTGAGAGCTTTGAGGTGAACCTTGGCCTTTCCCAACATCATGCTGTTAGGAAGTGCACAGCATTTAAGACTTCCTAAGCTGTGATGGGATTTCACAGAGAGCAACCACTCTGTGCATTACTGGAACTTCACTTTGCTCACTGTACTAGATTTTCATCAAAATATGTGACTAATGTAAAGATATTGACTATGTGAGTTTCATGTTTTTAAGTATTTTTTAAGTTATTCAATGTTTTGAATGGCCTTTCAGTGCAGCGAGCCCTTGGGTGTCCTGGAATATGTTCTGTAATATACCTCTGTCTTGTTTCCTGGGTGCTGGGACTAATTGTTAAAGGAGACTTAGACGAATTTTCATTTCGTAGCTCTTTTCTTAAAAGCACTGGTTTAGATGAGTTGTTACTAAATGGTAAATTAGTATTTTTTTTTAACAGTCAGTAGATATATAAAAATAATGATGTTTTAAAATAAAATAAAAATTTAAGTGTTTGGCTTTTTATTTCTTTTGGAAACTGTCCCATATAGCCCAGGTTTGTCTCTAGCTCATTATGTAGCCAAAGATGACCTTGAACTCTGATCTCCCTGCCTCTGCCTTGTGCCTGCTGGCAGTTCAAGTGTGCACCACTGCACAGTTGGCTGGAGCCCAGGACTTGATGTGAAGCATGCTGTGCGAGCATTGCTAACTGAACCACATCTTCAGCCCAAGTCTCTTATAATTTCTCTTTGTTTTTATTGTTTTATAGCTTGTATTTTTATTAACTAAGTCTTTTTTAAAAGCCACAAAACATTGAAGGTTTTTGACAGCTTGTCTCTAAAATTTCAAATATAACCACAGAAGACCTACATATATCTTGATTTCAGTTTGTCTTATAAAGGCAGTTGAGGTGTGTTGTTTATCAAGGGTTTTCAGTGTTTACATGTGTTGCATTTTCTTGAGGAAAGCTGTGTTCCTTTTGTTTAGAAAAACTAGAGCCACGTAAGCCAGTAGATTTCATTAACTTACTAACAATACATTGAGTTTTGTTTAAAATCATATATTTTACTTTGGCTGTCCATTTAGTTTCAAGTGATGATAGGTGATTATGAAAGTTTACAGAGTTTGTTACATTTGTAATTTAATATGAAGTTACTAGAAAAGTAAATTCTCACATCTCTTTTTTTGCTTTTAGGATTTTCTCATTCCGCATTTACCTTTGGTATAGAGAGCCATATAAGTCAGTCCAATATAAATGGTGCCCTTGTCCCACCTGCCGCATTGATCTCTATCATCCAGAAAGGCCTACAGTATGTAGAGGCAGAAGTTAGCATAAATGAGGTAAGACAGATGAGTTTCATTTCATACACTGATTCTGATTCTTAAATGTGTGTTTGTTTACTCAGTATCTAACCTTGATGTTACTGGCTTCAGACAGATTGAGGTACTCTTAATGTACCCATTATGTTGCTGCAGCTGTGTTTGTGGGCTTCTACCCAGTGGCCAAGATCTCTAGATTATTCCTTTTGTGAAGGGGCAGTGATGGGAGCTGTGTGTGTGTGTGCGTACACTCTCACAAGTGCTTTAAGCATGAAGAAATAATTTTTAACACATAAGGAATTTACTGTATAGTACTGGGAGCAAATTGGTGGCAGCTAGTTGAAAAACCATTTTTAGTTTTATGTACCCTCATGGAAGCCAATTACTTGTAATTGATGCCAACTTGTGATGCTCATAACTGTATGTCTGAGGTCATATGTAAGTAGTGTGTTTATTTCAGGTGTTGGCATGCTACTGGTGCCTGAGATAATCTTATCTGCTTCCTGATTCTGTATATCAGCTTTGTATGACACAGCCAAACTCATTCACTTTGGACTGTATGTGGATGCTGGGAACATGAGGTTCTGTGACAGGGATCTTACAGTCTTCAAAGGACACAGTGCCTGTTCTTCCCTGGAAGTCTACAGAATTTTGCTCTAGCTAGAAAGTTTAATGTTCAGGACTTAGAACATATTAAAGAATTCCCTTTACTTTTTACTTGAGAGCTGAAAATGTCCTTCCCTCCCCACCCTAAACCCCAAAGTAAGTGGAAGTAGTTTAGCTGTTAGCCCCAGTGCCTGTTGGTACCCTCAAGGATAGTACCTCCCACTTTGCCACAGGTAGTACCCTCTGCAGGTGCTCTAGAATTATACCAAATGGCAAGTTTGTATATCACACACATCTAGATCATGTGATGTGATTGTTACCCTGTAATGTTTAAAGAAAACCAACAAGAAAAAGATCTGTCTCGGTTCAGTATAGGTGCACTTACTTATTTCAAGGCCTGAATTCAGAGTACCGATGGAGATGTTGCTCGGTTGTATGACCTAGTCTTACTGGTTGATGTTTTTTACTAACAGCCTTCTTTACCTGAATTTTGTGTATTTGCATTTCATCATTTGGTTAAGCTTTTACGAATGGCTTCTTGTATTACAGTAATCTTTGTGTGACGTTTAGCAGGACCTGAATGAAGAGTAGATGGCTGTTTGTGTCTGCCTCTTGGCAGTATCATTCTTCTTCCTTCTCTTGCTGTTCAAGTTGAGAAAATTACCAGGTTTTCCTCAGAATGAAGCCCTGTGAGTGGAGTGCATGTCACTCTCAAAGCTACATCTTATTTTTCTTTCTTGGTTTTCCACCCTCAGGATGGCACCTTATTTGATGGGCGACCTATAGAGTCTCTGTCCCTGATCGATGCTGTCATGCCTGATGTTGTCCAAACAAGACAACAAGCCTACAGAGACAAACTTGCACAGCAACATGCAGCCGCTGCTGCAGCTGCTGCCGCAGCCACTAACCAACAAGGATCTGCAAAAAATGGAGAGAATACAGCAAATGGGGAGGAGAATGGAGCACATACCATCACAAGTGAGCTAAGAATGTTTAGACACTCTCAGAAAATACTGTGCCATACAAGAATGTCCCATCCTTAGAGCTGAAGTGATACCTGGTGTTTACTTCTATCCCCAACTTACGTCACACAAAACAGCTCAGATTTTATACATGAGGATTCAAAAAGCTAAATTCACTGTAGTTTCCTTTTTAGATGTTTCTGAACCCCTTCTACTCTTAAATGAATTTCGAATCTGCATCTTATTCTAAATAAAGTCTGTAATATTCTCTGTTAAACATACAGTAAGATTCTGACATTGAGGAGTAAAGATGACTCTCATGTTATATGAACGATATCAGCAACCCCTGCTGGCAGAAACTCAGAATAGTATTGTGATAGACTTTGATTTCAGCCTTGCCAAGGCTCGCTCCCCTTTCACTCCTTCGCCCTGGCCACCTCCATATCCACTTAATGTGTACATAGACACTGCCTTGGTTAAAACTAGCACACTCATACTTCACAGAAATGTGATTCCCTCTGACAGACTTTGCTTCTCATGATGCAGATAATCATACCGATATGATGGAGGTAGATGGGGATGTTGAAATCCCTCCCAATAAAGCAGTTGTGCTACGGGGCCATGAATCTGAAGTTTTCATCTGTGCCTGGAACCCTGTTAGTGATCTCCTGGCATCAGGGTAAGTTTGTCAAAAGAGCTTCTAGATGTTGGGTGTTTTGTTTGGTTTTAGAACGGCTTTGAACTGTTGACCCTCGAGTCCTGGGATTAATAGGCCTGCTTCACCATACCCAGCTCTACACTACCATTCAAGGCTACGTTACTGAATGGACTGCACTTTCCAGACACTTGTTGCTTGCTTATGGTCATGTTGCCTTAGAAAGTAGTATTTCTTTGTGAAGTAAGTTTAGGATTACTTGATAGGAGCTCTATAATATAGAATAAGAAAAATATTAGAAATGCTTATGCCTGGTAGTCTGCTTCTTATTCAGATGATATATGTGTGGCTTGAATTCTGGAATGCATGAGATTATCATGAGAAGTTAAAGCTATTTTTGGACTTTGAAGGTCTGGGGACTCCACAGCAAGAATATGGAATCTTAGTGAGAACAGCACGAGTGGTCCCACACAGCTGGTCCTTCGACACTGCATACGGGAAGGGGGACAGGATGTTCCCAGCAACAAGGATGTCACTTCTCTAGACTGGAATGTGAGTGCACTCTTCTTACCTAAATAGTCTGTGAATGACAGCATCTGATGATTTGATAGTATATGGTCAACTTGTCTTCATGTTCCCAAAGTCCTAATCACAATTAAAGATATTTTAGAAGATTTTACTTGTTACTTCTTAAAAAAGCATTTTTGCGGTATCATTTTGATGTCCTTCTAGTCTACTCCCTGCCACCATTCTCATTCACGGGCGTCTGTGAAGTGTTCTGTAGAGGGATCTTGTCAGTCCTGCTCCACAGCAGTTACTACCAGATTTGGGGTGGGCCTTTCAGAGAACACTGGCTTCATCAGGGAGGGTGTTTTGCTGGCCTTTGTTGGCACTTACACATAAATAAGGGTCTAGTGTGCCTGGGACATGTTCGTAGTAATTAATTGGCCTTAATTGTGTAATGAACAACATGTATCCTATGACAGAGTGAAGGTACACTTCTAGCAACTGGGTCATACGATGGATTTGCCAGAATATGGACTAAAGATGGTACGTATTTTTCTGAATGTATTGATGTTCTAAGTTACAAAGTTTGAAGTAATTTTAAAGGTTTTTTTTTTTTTTTAAACTTTAGGTAATCTTGCCAGCACCTTGGGGCAGCATAAAGGCCCTATATTTGCATTAAAATGGAATAAGAAAGGAAATTTCATCCTAAGTGCTGGAGTAGATAAGGTAAATGAACATTTAGCTAAGCTCTGTAAGGACACTATTTGAAAGTAATTTTTCTTTCTTTCTTGATAATCACTTAAATAGACTTGAATGAATTTATGACAGTATGAATTTATGGCAGTAATAGAAATAATTTCTCATCTGCTTGTTTTCTTAAATCTATTCACGATATCGTTTGTTGATAATAATCACTCTTCATTTTTGCTGGGATTTGAACCTAATGAAATGTCATCATTAAGCTCTTTGTGCTTTCCCAGTTTATCTCAGTGGTGACCATAGATTTGGGGTGACTCAGTGGACCATCTGTGTCCTCCTGTGCTTATTGAAGCAGTTCCTCCCTAGCTCCAGGAAGTGAACAGAGACTGGTTGGCACTGGCTTCTCTCTTCTTCAGTCCCTCTCTACCACACTTCCCTCAATAAGCAAAGGTTTAAGATTTTTTTCGATTCAGTTATTATCAATTGGATGGTGTTGTGGGTGGGGACATAAATTGCCTGAGACTCAGTTCTAGTGAGTGATTTTAACAAAGGAATTTGGGGAGGGAGAAGAAGAGCCAGTACTTGTCTCTCTCACCGGCAGCTTCAGGACCTACCTTAAGTGGTATCAAAAATGTAAGCAGCCATTTTTTTCTTTTTTGTACATGTACATGTACATGTCCTTGAAGAAGGAGAAATGTTTCAGTATTTCGAACTAGGTCGTTTCACTGTAACCTAATAAGTTCAAAGCCGTAAATCTATTAAGCAGCTTAGCATAGTGTCAGATAGTTGGTTGATAAACAATAACTGTTATTGGCAATAAGTTGGTGAAAAATCACAGAAAGTTAAACCGCATCTTGATCATTTCCCCTGACCTGGGTGCAGATCACCGTGTGCTGTGAGGAATAAAAATATTGAAGTGAAGTTCACTCTAAAGTTACCTTCTGCTTTAATAGAGCTGGGTATCTATCTGTTCTTGCATTTGCACTCTTTAACATCAGAGAAACTAAGTTTTTTTTTCCCCCTTTATTCTCAGACTACCATTATTTGGGATGCACACACTGGTGAAGCCAAGCAGCAGTTCCCTTTCCATTCAGGTAAATCTTGACAATACACGGGGAAGGAAGCTGGAGTGTTGGCCTCAGTGGAATCCATTCGGGACTGAGTGTCAGCCAGCACTCTTGGTACCAGTCCTCAGGAGTCCCGAGTGCTGTGCTTAGGGGCAGTGCTGTAGAGTTGAGCGTGTACATTCTTCACTTGATCAGCTCTCAATCACTTCACCTTATGAGCCTCATTTTCACTGTATATAAATGAGGGTTCTTTTTATGTGTGTTTATTGATTGGTTTTTTGAGGCAGGGTTTTCTCTGTAGCTTTGGAGCCTGCCCTGAAACTAGCTCTGTAGACCAGGGTAGCCTCAGCTCACAGAGATCCACCTGCCTCTCTCTGCCTCCTGAGTGCTCAGATTAAAGGCATGTGCCACCACTGCCCGTAAATAAGGGCTCTTGATAGTTGTTTATTGTGAGGATAGGAAAAACGGCTTATGTGGCGATAAATTCAGCTCTGTCTAGGGGACATGTTCTGTGTTTGTGCACTGAAACATAGGCTTCCTCAGTGACTTTTGCAGGCTTCTTCCTGCGTGGTGCAGTCTGAGCATGCAGTTCACTGCCATCAGTTCCTTCATCTTGGAACCCCTGTGCCTGTTCTCACTGACTAGTTTGTTATTTGAGAAGTGAGGGAAAAACAAAATTTTGCTGTATATTCCAGGCTGGCTTCAAATAATCTTCATTCTTCGGCCTCCAGAGTTCTGGGTTATAGGTGTGTACCTATTTGTTTCGATTCTTAGTGAATTTCTTGATTTCAGTAGCTGAGTAGTGTTGACTTCAGCAAGATTGCATGAGGCCAGTCAAAGCAGGAGTTTACCATTACCTGATAACAGTTGCTGCTTGGAGATTTGTGCTCTGAGGTTCTACACTGGAAGCTGAGCAGGTGGCTGCTCTTACAAAGAGCTAAAATTGCAGCTGTGACCAAACAAACCAACTAGAAGCAAAATGACTTCAGTATGATCTGAGTAGAGTGGTTTGCAGACATTGTGTTAAGCACCAAACATTCCATCAGAGCTTACCACACAAATATATGTTTATACAGCACCCCCTGTTTACCTCTTCTGCTTCTGTTTCACCTTGGGTTCTAGTCCTTCCCCTCTGTCTCTGGGTAGTCTCATTTTCTCATACTTCCTGGGAGTGATACAAAGTTGGGGTCGGGGAGTGTGCATGCTTAGCCACAGTGTAATGAATTCTACCCATTTGAGGTGTTCCTCAGTATATCCTCTCAGACTTCCAACCTAAGCTAACTGAAGGGGTAGAATTAAGCCTCTGTCCTTTTGTTCCTGCCTCGTGTATGCATGTGCACATGGGAGTTATGAGATCCTGGGCTAAGGGATATAATGCCCTTTAGACAGGAATCAAAACATAAGGAACAAGAACCTGAGAGGGGCCGGGATGAAGAGGGATGATGGAGGAACTGAAGGTTTTCAAAATATGAAGTTTATACTTTAACAAAGTTCTGGTGAGAAATAGCTGACATATAATGAACTGGAAGTATTTGCCTTGCAATTTTTACCAATGTAAACACCATGGAAATCATTACACTGAAGATATGGGTATATTCGTTAGCATCAGGCTTTTCTCCTGCTTCTGTGATGTCATTCTTCAGACAATCACATTTGGTCATAAATTTTAAAAGTATTGAAAAACTCTGAGCACCGTTGGCTGAGATATTTAAAATAAGTGAATTACATCTCAGTAAGGCCATTAAAAATGCCAGTGAGTTGTCAAAGAATAAATTTTAAAAATACTAGTAAAAAATAAATGTGCCTTTTTTCCCATAGGTTTATTCTTTACAAAAATTCTGCAATCATTTGGATTAACAAAAATTAATTAGAATTGAAGAGAGAATGTTTCATTTTAACTTTAAAACTTGTAAAAGTGTAGAATAAAAGTATTCCAGGAAAATTACTTAATTTTTCTTAGCCTCCTCTACATGTATAAAATATGGCCATAATAATAGACTTTCCCGTGGGTTTGTTTTGGATTAGGAACTTACTCTTTCTTGGCCCTTCTTAGGAATGCCTATTCCCTAGTGTCTCTGGGTAGTCTGGGTCTATGGGGTTTCAGAGCCAGGCACATTGCAGGCACTTGCATCTCAGCACTCAATTTAACATTCCTAGCTGAATTTCTTAGTTATTAGTGTAGCACGATTAATAAAAACCCAGAGACAGAAATTGGAGTTTAACCTAAAGGTCAAAAAAAATCAAAGCAACCAGCCCCTGGCTCTCACCTTTATCTCAGTCCAAAATGGCCATTCTGCCTCCAGGACTCTCAGAATGAATAAGTGTGAGAGCTGTCTCCTCCCGTCTTATATTCCTCTCTAGTGCTGGGATTAAAGGTGTTCACCACCACTGCCCAGTTTCTACGGCAACTAATGTGACTACTGGGATTAAAGGTGTGTGTGACCACTGCCTTATCTGTAAAACTGATCAGTGTGGCTATTTTATTCTCAGAACTTCAGGCAAGCTTTATTTATTAAAACACAAATGAAATATTACTACATTAGGATCCTCATTTCAGACTGAGGTAGTAGTAAGAGCCAGTGGCTGGCTGTTTTGCTTTTTTGACCTTCAGGTTGAGCTCTAATTTCCATCTGGGTTTTTATTAATCGTGCTACAATACAGTTTGTTTTTTTCCCTGAACCGAAGTATGTCTGTCTTAGTGCAGATTAATATTTGTTGGCCTTCTCTCATGTCTGAAGCCCACTCGGGCTCTCATAGGTCGTGTCAGATATTTACCCTTCTTTGTACTTTTTTTTTTGTATAATTATCTATTTTCTAAAAATCATTAAAAATTCCAGCCTCTTCTTCCTACATTATTTCCTACTTCTTAATCTTAGAATTATTTTTTTATAAAAGAAGTAAATTTAAATAGCTTTTTACAGAATAATATTTCAAGTTAATATTGAAGTATTTACTGAATCAAGCTTTTGGCAGGAAGATAGTCTATACTTGGATTCAAGACAGGAACTGCAGCAGAAGAAAGTCATTGTAGCAGTGTCAGAAAGAGAGACCATTAGGAACAGTGAGGTCACCCAGAGAGGAGCAACTGCAGGAAAGAGACTGCAGAGCAGTGGAAGGTGCTACCAGTCCAGTGGGAATCTGAACCACTGAGAAGAGGCTACCCAGTAACAGCAGGCAGGGGCCATGAGAAACCCAGGCTGAGCCAGGGGCAACAGCAATGTGTCTCCTACTAGCCTTGGGCTCCTGACCCCCTCTTCTTCTCTGAAACCCGTGCAGCACTAGGGAGCACAGGAACTGGAGGGTAACTTGTGAGAGTGAACCTGAGGGCAGACTGAAGAGAACAGGACTGCTGGCATACCAGCAATCACATGCTGCCGACCAGGGTGGCCACAGTCGCTGGATGGTGCAGGTTCCACCCCCTGGAAGTCACATTTAGCCAAGTGTGAAAATGAAGTAAGAGATGGGATTAGGAAATTTCTGTGAAATGCAAATGGAGAAATATCCTTCACCTTTCTGTTTCTTCTTGTCTCTAAGTGGGGTTGACAGACTAGCAAGGTTCAGAAAGTATTTTTTTCTAGTTTGGCAGACCATAGGAATTGTATCATAACTGAGGCTAAGTCTAAATGTCCTCTTATTTCCCCTGTGAAAACTCCTTCAGTACAGCCGCCTAGTGTGTGAAGACAGTGTTCCCTGTGTGTTCACAATTAAGCCAGTTACTGCTACACTTGCCTTGATCTGTGAAACTAATAACAGAGCTATTGCTGCTTGTCTTGGGGAAAGAAAAGAAATCTATAATCGTTTCTAAGCTGAAATTAGGCTGCATACTAAATCCTTGTCAATTTTGGAACTTAGTGATTTTAAATTTAACAATTTTAAGATTCACTTGATTTTTCTTAGAAGGGAATTTTGCAAGAATTATTTAAAAGAAAATATATTTGCTAATTATCTGCAGTGTCCTTGCTTGGGTAGAACAGTTAACAGTGGGAGTGGCTCTGGTGCATCGTTTCTCTGAGCTATAGCATTCTTCCGAAAAGCAGCGTCTTTGTGGTCCTGGCACCATCTCCAAATACTAAGTGACATTTAGAAGTGGGTGTTACCCCAGGGTACAATAGTGGTAGAACCAAAGCTTCCTTCCATCACACGTGCACAGGCTTGACTTTTATTGTTATACAAATGAGAAGCCAAGACTTAGTGCTCCAGTGCAGTGTGAATTATTGGGCACCATGATCATATAGCTGAAAGTTACTGGTATTTTTGATACTTAGATAGCTTTATCTTTTTAAATTTTTTTCTTTGTATCATAAAAAATGTGAAATAGGGACTAAGAGATGGCACAGCAGTTAAGAGCATTGGTTGATCTTCCAGAAGACCTGTGTTCAATTCCCAAATATGACAGTTCACAATCGTTTATAACTCTGCTTCTAGGGTATCTGACATCTTTACACAAACATGCATGTAGGCAAAACACCAGTGTACATTAAAAATGAAAAAATAAATATATAAAAAAAGTATAAAGAAAAAATATTTACTGCCTAGAACTCTTAATGTCTAGCCATGATTCAGAGCTCTCCTCCTACATGACAGTCATGTGCACAATGCAAGCTTAACCTCTGCCCCTTTCCAGCCCCAGCACTGGATGTCGACTGGCAGAGCAACAACACCTTCGCGTCTTGTAGCACAGATATGTGCATTCATGTCTGCAAATTGGGACAAGACAGACCTGTCAAAACATTCCAGGGACACACGGTAAGAAGTCTGTTCCTTCGTGTAAAATGGTTATTTTTAGCAAATAATATTTCAGAATCATTCTTGAGTACGCATATTAAATATCAAATAACAACCTGTTCTATAAAATGAAAATATAAATATTTACTACTGTTTTTAGAATGAAGTAAACGCTATCAAATGGGACCCAACTGGCAATCTCCTGGCCTCGTGTTCAGATGACATGACCTTGAAGGTAATTCAGGTAGTGGGTGCTTTAGGGTGAAGGTGTTTCATGATGTGTGGCTGGGCATTTTAAGGAGTTTTTGTTTTTGTTTTTTTGTTTTTTTGTTTTTTTTTTTTTTTGAGTCAAGGTCTTGCTGTGTAGCTCTGGTTGTTCTGGAACTCAGTTATATAGACTAAGCTTATCTTAAACTCAAAGAGTCTGCCTCCTGAATACTACCATATCTGGCTTAAGACTTTTTAAAATGTCATTTTGATATGTAAAACCTAAATTAAAGCTTTTTAATTGTTAATTTTTCCCCCTGAAATACTTATATACTTGAATATAGTAAACTCTATTGAAAGAATGACTGTATAGGTGTACCATGCTGCTGTATTTGTTACCGTTCTCATTGGTAAGAAGGTAATAGGGACATACATTAATCTATAAGAGACTTATGAAAATTATATATCATGGCGGCTGGGACTTTGTATTCACTGCTGTCTTCAAACTGGATAGCGAGGAAAGCCGATGTCGTAGTTACTTTCTATTGCTGTGCTATGACACCATGAAGAAAGCAGCTTATGGAAGAGTTTGTTGGGCTTTACAGTTTCAGATGCTGAGTCCTTGACCATTATGGCATGGAGCATAGAGTCAGGCAGCATGGAGTCAGGCAGCATAGCACTGGCTTCTATCAACAACCATTACACCCAGAACTAAATGGAAATGGTGTGCATTTTTTAAATTAAATAGTCCACCCCTAGTGATACACATCATCCAACAGGGTCACACTTCCTAATCCTTCCCAAATAGTCTCACCAACTGGGCAAATAATACTTAGCCAAATACCTGATTTCTCCATGACCCAATCAAGTTGAGACAGAGCATTAACCATCAAAGAACACAGTGTGATGTGACTAAAAGTGAAACTTAATACCTTTCGTACCGAATTGTGAGGTAATGACTAGCTTAGTGCTAATCTCCAGAATGAATGTTGGTGCCTCCTCATGCCACACAGATCTCCTGAAATATTTTATTTTTAGTCTTGCAGTATCATTGACTATAGTGACAACCATTACAAATAGGATAGTCATGCAGAGAAAATCACTTCTTTTACTGTGTACAAGCTAAGTGTATTTTTCCCTCCCTTCATCTTGAGGATCAAATGGAGGACTTAGGTGTACTAAGAAAGCATGCCAGCGCTGTGCTGATCTTTATTTTGAGTCAGACTCTCAGTATGTAGCCCATACTGGTCTTGAATTCGAGTCTTCACATCTTACCAAGCACTGGGTATGAGCCTATACCACCACAATAGCTTAATTGTCTGTCTCCAAGTTTTCTTCTCATGCTCATGCATTAGAACTTCTACTATGGAGGAAAGCCAATATCCAGAGAAGCTCATGCCATGAATTGAGCTGCAAGTTAAAAAGCCTGTATTTAGATACCTCAGGTTCTAGATTGGATTTTTTCTTAACCTTACAAAGACGTTTGGGCCACAGAGGATTTCAGAGCAGAAATAGAATGGGTGGTGTGTAATGAGGAGTAGGTGATAGGGTGGTAAACCTCAAGAACAGAATCTAGATCAAGACAATGGCCAAAGTAGATAGGAAATGTAAATAGAGTTGTAAGGGGTATGTCAACCTTGCCAGTGCTGTTGAAAAGACCAAAGAGAACTGTAGAACTTTGAGGTCTGATTGCTTCCCTATGACTGTTTATCTAAGCTACAAAGCACTATGGTATTCTCTAGCTGTTTACTGCATTTCCAGAGTATGAATTCTAGTTGTTTTTGGTTGTGTGTATGTATGTGGTTTTGGAACTGAATCCAGGGCCTCACACAGTACTTAACCACTCACACAAGTGCTCTACCAGAGTTACTATAACCCTCATCCAAGGACTTTCTTAAATGTTAAGATTTGTGCATCTTATGGCTATTCAAAACAATCTTAGAAAAACTGCAGTTAATCAATTCAGCCTTCAGGTTTTACAATAAGGAGTATTGGTGAAGAATTTAACTTATGGAGTAATGTTAAATACATTTCAACTACTTTTAAGTTTGTTTGTAGTCATTCCCTTGATGACTCATTTTGTACTGGAAAGGTAATACTTTTAAATGTATCTGTTATATGGAAAAAATTACCAATTTTTTTCTCTTGGTAGATTTGGAGTATGAAGCAAGATAACTGTGTCCATGATTTGCAAGCACATAATAAAGAAATTTATACTATTAAATGGAGTCCAACAGGACCAGGGACAAATAATCCAAATGCCAATCTTATGCTAGCAAGGTAATATGTCTGTTTCACTTTTCCTATTGAGTCTCTCAAGAATAAAAATTTTGGGAAAATATGGCAGAAAACACGGAGTATATCTTGGGAGGAATATATTTCAATGGAAACCTTTAAACGTGGGATTTTTAGCATTATTAGTATTTCAGGCCTTAATGCCATTTTTCTTTCTTTTTTTTCTTTTTTAAATCTCTTAAATAAAACCCCACAAGTAGGCTTGTCTTGTCCTTGTAATCCAACACTTAGGCCAGTATGCCTAACATAGTAATCAACTTGGGCTCTATATTGAGACATACAGATCATTGGGGCATAGGATAATAATAAAATTGTTGTGTCGGCAGCTTTTTTTTTTAATTCAAGAGAGAGATGAATCCCAAAATACAGTCATTTGATATTCAGAGCCATGGACCAATAACTAGGACTGTTGGGAATACAGTGACTGGGCAAGAGCTGGGCCTTCAGCTTTTTCTTGTTTGTTTTCCAGTTTCTACAATACTTGGATTTTAACAGTATAATCTGATGGGCAGAATGTGGGAAGCTGGGGACAAGACTAAGAGAATATTTAGTTACTTATAAAATTATTTTCCCTTTCACTTTCAGTGCATCCTTTGATTCTACAGTTAGGTTATGGGACGTTGACCGAGGCATTTGTATCCATACTTTGACAAAACACCAAGAGCCTGTGTACAGTGTGGCTTTCAGCCCTGATGGCAGGTATCTGGCAAGTGGTTCTTTTGACAAATGTGTACACATCTGGAACACACAGGTACGTCCCAGTACTGTCAAACACACTTACTGAGTTAGAAGCATTTACCTACTTATATTTTGGTTATTCCTCATTTGACATCAATTTACTGCTTAGTTTTAAAAGCCTTCTTAAAATCAACAATGTATTTTTCAGTCAACAGTGATTGAACACTGCATTTTTTTTTGTGCAAATCAGAATTTAGAATTAGATCTCTTGTCTTGTTATTTTATTTTTGAGCAACATAGTGGATATGAGATAAGAAGTGTTGTAGTTGACATTTGTTGAGGTTAAAAGACAAGATTGCATGACTGAACCAGATTTAACACCCTGCTGCCTTTTCAGGGATGGGTACTGTAAAGAGCCTCCTTTCAAATAGAAGCCAGTGAGTGAGCTTTTGTGCACCATATACTGTGTCTTCTGTGTTCCCCAGGTCTTTGTTGGTGTCTGGCATACTAATATATTATTGACAACTCTTTTGATAGATTTCCACCATAGTTAACGACACAAATTACCTACTACAAACCATCACATTTGAGTAGTTTTCATTAAGTTCTACATCCTGTGGCTTAGGAAGGTCTACACTGAGGAGCTCAGGCCATCTCTGCCCTCATGCCCTAAAGTAACTGTTCTTAGCAGCTTCTTTCATCCTTACTGAGTTGCTCATTGCACAAAGCACCATGAGATTTCTCGGTCATACTCAGCAGAGGTCCGACTTCCAGACAGAGCATGGCATTTCAGTGGGGAATAGGGCTGAGTGTCTCCTTATATACCTGAGGGTGTAGGCTGACTTTTCTGAGCATTTTTAAAAATTCATTTTAATTTTACTTTGAAAACTAGCATTGGAACTAAGGACTTCATTATGGCACTTTCTATATACTTTGTTCTTGTTGAATTGTTTCCCAGTCCCCTCTCTGATCCTTCCACCCACCCCACAGCCTCCCGTTCCATCTTCACATCTCATGGGTTTTATTACCTGACCCCTCCCCCCCCGTTTATGATGTCACTAGATGATAATGAGTACTCCACCCACATAAGTACCCCTTGAAAGGAAACGTTATATTTATCTTTCTGAGTCTGGCATATTTTGCTTAGCAATAATTGCCATTTCAGCCATTTTCCTGTAAAATGTCATGGTTTTATTTTTTCTTTAAGTCTACATAAAATTTCATTCATAAATATGCATTCCTTTTCTCTGTTGATAAACACCTAGGCTGGTTTCATTTCTTGCTCATTTTGAATAGTACAGCAGTAAACATGGCTGTGCACGTGTCTCTGGCATGTTGAGGAATTCCTACAGGTGTGTACTTATGCCACACCTGCATGTGGTCCTGTCTTTGTGCTCTGGTTTCTGTAGGTACTGGACTGGTTTGCACACTTGCCAGCACGTTGACCCTTGTCTGCTTAATGACAGCCATTCTGACTAGGGAAGCTGGGAGTTTAAAGTGGTTTCAATGTACTTTTCTCTGATGCGAGGATGTTGAATACTTAGGAAACGTTTATTGGCCATGTCAGTTGCTTAGTTCCCGATTCGCTGGCAGGATGAGTCGCTTATTCAGTGCTTCACTTTTAAAAATATTTTCTCTCTATATTTTTCTAACTAAAGTATAGTTGGCACAACTTTTTTCCCGTTTCAATTTTCTTTCTCTACTCTGCTGAATATTTGCTTTGCTGTACAGAATTATTTCAGGTAATCTCCTCTATCAGTGCTTGGAGTTAATTCCCCTGTAGGGGAGGTTTCTTTTAGATCATGCTCTTTCCTTTTTCAACTGGATTGTTGGTGGTTTTTGTTTTTTGAGAGGTCTCACTTTGTAGTTAGGCTGGTCTTGAACTTGTCTTGCCTCTTCTTCCAAGTGCTGGGATTAGAAGCATGTTCCTGGATTTAAAATAAAAATATTCTATCTTGCCAGATGGTGGTGGCATACACTTTTAATACCAGTACTCGGGAGGCAGTTGTGGGTGGATCTCTGAGTTTGAGGCCAGCCTGGTCTACAAGAGCTAGTTCCAGGGCAGCCAGGGCTTTTAAAAAGAGAAAACCTGTCTCAATCAAACCATAAAATCAAAAAAGAAAGAAATATGTATCATATCTTAATATCTTACTAGATAATGTTGTGGAAGGATGCTTAAAAGAAATCCCACACTAGCTCAGAATTGAGAAATAGATGGTTATTTATTTAGGGGTAAACTTACAAATCAGAATCCTCTGCTTGAACGGAGAATAGAAACCGAATCCAGCAACTAGAAAGAGTCGATGCATGTTCTACATTGGCTTATACATTATAAGAGGCCATGCCCCATTGGGAGGATAACCACTGGCTAGCTGTAAGACTTCCTACAGCGCCTCCTCCTTTTGTTTAAATAAGAGTGTTCTAAGCCTAATACAAAATTATATACAATAAGAACAAATATATTCAATAATTATCCTATCCTAACTATAGTTTAAGTCTTGTATAAATAAATAACTTGGCCAAGTCATGAGAGGAAAGTAACTACAATTATCTAGTCTTCAACCCCATCAAAGATCTGAGAAGGGAAATAATATTACTTGAGTAAGCAGGAAATGCTGCTAGGAGCTATCCTGTCTCACTTCAACCAAGCCCTACGTTATTTAAATGCCATATCCTACAGCTCTTTGAAGTGGTTGAAGATTACCTATATATGCAGAGTATAATCTCTATTTAAAGAACCTGATTAGTTTAAGTATGACAAAAATAGATGACTTTTGGTTTATAATTCTTAATACCTATATAACTTAAAGACTAAGATTTCATATTAGAATATTATACAATAAACAGATATGCAACAAGTGAGGACAATGACCTCAGACTGCAAACAATGTATAAGTATCTTGATCAGAGGTAGAAATGTACATTGCAATATGATAAATGTATATCAATATATAAAAATGTTTTAAGCAGAGGTAGAAGCATGCATGCATACAGTATTCAGTGTAATTTAACTTTGTATCAGTATACAAGAATCTATACCAATGTAATTGCCTATAAATAATAACTCACAAGTATTCACTCTATTACTTTCTACTATTATTATTATTACTAGTGTGAGTAAGCTCATACTAATCTATTATCCCAATAATTTCCTCCTTTTTTTTCCCAAAGAGATCCTTGAGCTGACATAATTTTTTTCCCAACCCCCAACCCTATACCAATTATAATCAACACCTAAATGATGTCCCTGACCCTGAGGACAAACTTTGTTGGGAGAGGAGACGTTGTCTTCTAGAATTACTTCCAGCTGTCATGGGGACAATGTTCTTTTCTATGGGATCCTGTGAAAGTAAAATAATACTGTCTGGTATAATTGCAAATAGTCTCTGAGTATTTGGTAGGGTTTTTCTGCGCTTCCTATTTGGAGGTCTGGCCAGAACGTTGTAAAAAGAAAAAATGCATTTCAGGTAACCAAGTTGGACTATCTTGAGCAGCTGGTACTCAAAACAGGTCTTGTAGAAGCATTATCAGCATCATGACATCATATCAACCAGGTGGAGTTGTGCAGGAAAATTTATTTTTCATTGTAGAAAATTTAAATATTTATATAGACCTATACAGATGTATATATTCAATGAAAGGTACAATAGAGTCAAAAATAGATAGGAAGAAAAGTAAATTTTTTTCTAAATTCCTTTTTCTTTCTCATATCATGCTCCTGACATGAGACAGAAACTCTGAATTTTTATTTTAACAACATGCTTGGATTTAGAGAGGGACAGAGCCAGTGGCCAATTCCAAAACTAGCTCTATATATTCATAAATACATACATGCATACACACATATATAATGTCTTATCTGGATTCTTTTATTTTTCTTTATAAATATATACCAAACAAATTTTGTTATTATGAAATACCTGTTTAAAACCACCATTTTCAAATTTTTACTTTTGTGTTCCTAAGAGAGTACTGGTGAATACAGTTCAACTTCTAAAACCTGAACAATGATGCATGCCTGGGAGTGAACATAAACATGAATATGATTAACATAAATCTTCAGATTTACTTTATAAGGATATTTTGCTGTGTTTGTTGTATATATCTTTCTTCTAGTTCTCAAAAGGATTTCAACCAAATTGTTTTATTGACCCAGCTAAAGTATTTAACACCTGTCAGCACCAGTCATGAAGAGTTGTTAGCCAATACCATAGTAAATGTATATTCTGTGTGGTAAAACTGTATATAAATCGTATGATATACTACATATCTTTTAAAACTTGTGATTTGCACTAACAGTTTTTGGTTTATGATTATAGGAGTTCATTGAGGTCTAAAACAGTGGTTTGGTTCGTTTTGTTATTGACATGCAAATGAATCAAACTTTTTCTAATGCTTATGTGGGCAATATGTTAAAGTATTTTTGCATATCTATGTGTGTGCATGTTTGATTTTGTATACTCAGAAAGGAAACTCTGGGTTCATGAAGAATCCATACCATTTTGTACTTTGTATCTTCTGTATCCTGAATTCTCAGTTCACTAAACATTTTTGTGATTTGGTAAATATTTATTTATACATTTAGTTTCATGTTCTGTTTAGAGTAGAAACAATACAGCTCTGCTGTTCTTTTTTTGTAGTGAGGAGCGCAAGGAGCTATGTTCCCGCCCAGCTCCCGCACGGCTAGCCTTACACCAAAATAACAACACACAAATTGTATTCTTTTAAACACTGCCTGGCCAATTAGCTCTAGCCTCTTATGGGTTAACTCTCGCATCTTGACTAACCCATTTCTATTAATGAGTGTAGCACCACAAGGTGGTGTCTTACCAGGAAGGATCTTAAACCTGTGTCCATCTTTGAGAGGAGAGCTATAGCACCTGCGTCTCACTGCCTTCTTCCAGCATTCTATTCTGTCTTCCCTGCCTACATATGTTCTGACCTATCAGGCCAAGCAGTTTTCTTTATTCAATGAAACAACATTTAGATAGAAGACCCACCTACATCATTTTTTTGATTGTTGGCTACTTGGTCCTTATATGTTCTGGGTCTCTTCCATCCTGGGTATCATTGCGGTAGTCTTCCTTTCCACCTACTTCATGGAGAACTTGCTGTATCGCTCTTTCAAATGAGTGTTCAGATTAGTGTTTATATATGTGTGTGTGTGTGTGTTTATGTTACTGGGGTCTCTTTTTTTTTTCTTTTTTCCTACAATGTTTAAGCTTGATTTTGTTAGTGGTCCCTGTTGTAGTCTGTATGGTGTGAGGTCCAGAAAGAAAGTCATCTTTTCATGTGGCTAGGCAGTTGTCTTGGACTCATTCATTGTTTCCTGTTTTTACTATGTATACCAAATCTGTCAACCATGAACATGGTTGGCTGCTTGCTCCTTGCCTCATAGTCCAGAAGACTGAGCTAGGTCCCTAGGGGTCCCAGGTGAGCACCCTCTACAGTGAGCTGCATCTCTAGCCCCCAATTCTCTTTTGTGTCCTTGTACATAGCTGAATCCACAGTGCAGGCCTAACTACTCTCTATGGCATGTGTCTCTGTTCTTGGCACTTTAGTCTTCAGCATTTCCTAAATTAGATGTATTTCTGAATTTGTTTAACTACATTAAGTCTATGTATTACTTTGAATTCATTACCCATGAATACGTTATATCCATTTATCTGGCTTATTTCTTCAGTAAATTTTTATGATTGCTCTGATGTGTTTTGTGATTTTTACATTTGTATGAATGCTGTTTTTTTAAATACGTTTTCTTTTTGGTGTTTGCTTAATGCTTGGAAGATTTTTCCAATTGTAATCCATTGTGCCAAAATAATTTCAGTGAAATGTAACTTATTTAAGGTTATCTGACCAGCTGTCTGCTGTTGTGCTGTCCACTGTTGGAGTCCCTTTACCTTTTTAAACCTGAGTGTGAAATGACAGATGGCATCTGGTGGTGGGTGCAGACTCTGCTGTTGGTTATAGTTTGTCCCGTGAGCATCTTGTTCCAGCATACAGATAAGATAAATGTGACCCACTAATCCTCACCATCACAGATCTGCCTTTGGTCGTGTTTGGACTTATTACCGTCCTGCCTCAACTTAAAGATAGATTGGTAGATGTTCTTAATATAGGTAGCTTGGGCAGGTGAGCAGCCATTTGTTTTAGCCCCGCGTTTATCCATCTGCCATAGGTCTGTGGTCTGCGGGGTCTGCTTTTACACTTAGTCACTCTCCATCCTGCCTCCGTCCTCTTTGTTTTCTCAGTAAGCACAGATACTTAAGGCTGCTGTACTCATTTGTCATTGGTCTCAAACTATGAAAACTTTAGCAAAGAGAAATTTCTGAAAGTTCAGTCATAACATCTGTGGTTTGTATATGATGTTGAGCTAAATTTGGAGAGGAAGTCAAGACCAAGGTGTTGAGGCCTGTGTGCCAGGATAGTGGTGGGCAAGGTGTGTGAGGGTTTTGTTGTGAAGAAAATCCTCAGGGGTCACTCGTGCTCTGTCAGACCTTTGTAGTTTTTATTTTTAGCTGCACTGTACAGCCTCTGTCCTCTGAACTGTGGCTTCACAGGAAAGTACAGTTCTGGTCTGATTTTAGGTATTAGGTAGCAACTGATCTTTTGTTTTCATTAAAGGAATAAAATAGCTATTCTTAGAATTCAGCTAAGAGAATGGGATTGTTAACATTCCTGGACACACTTAAGGAACTTCTATAGCATCCTTCAAGAAGGATACGTGCATCTTTTCTTCCTTTACCTACCTTGGACTATCCCTGACACACTCACACTACTCAAGGAGCATGCCATAACAGCATGAACACAGTGTCTTTCTTGTTTTTTTTTTAAACTTGATCTTTGCAATGCTGTTTTGTTATTGACACAATGCATACGTCTCTCAGTAGCAGGCACTCTTTATAACCTGCATTGACTGTCCCATCTATAGTTGTTCAAAGAGGCTCAAGATCCTAGTGGGGAATGGTCACCATACATCACTTGAGGATAGTCTGATCACATCTGTGAAGGGATTACCATAGCACATTTCTGGAGTTTCAGAACCTGTCTATATTTTTATTTGAAATGAAGTCCTACCTCTTGATTGTTAAAAATAATGCATCAGAATATATTTTTGACTCATTCTCATACCCCAACTATTCACAAGTTCTATTTTCCTTGACAGTTTATATGAGCCCATATACTGCTTTTTAAATTACTTTATCTAGGTTTATATGAATTACAATAATAATTCTACAATACTAGCCTCCTAAATGGGTTTCTCTTCCTCTGCCCTCACTCTTTGTTTTTCTCTTTCCCCTCTTTTCCTTTTTAAAATTATTATATGGTAGTTATACATAATAATAGGTTCCATTATGTATACTGCACATCATACAATATTTTTATCAAAGCCCCTGTCTTTTTGTCACACTTCCACTGACTTCTTTACTTGCCTAGTTAATCTTTCTCCTCTAGTGGCATTTGGGGATTGGAGAAGACTGTGAATCTAAATGGAGTTACTTGTTGGAGCACTGGCAACAGCTACACCACTAAAGAAAATGGGTCTTCTTCCCTCAGCAACCATTGGGGTGTGTGTGTGTGTGTGTGTGTAGGGGATGGAGTCTCATGATTCCCTCTCACACATTATAATCTCACCTCACTATTTTCATTTCTATGATGATTCTTAGGGTTCTGTTTTTCATATTTTCAGACAGGTGCTCTAGTTCACAGTTACAGGGGAACCGGTGGGATTTTTGAAGTTTGCTGGAATGCAGCAGGAGACAAAGTTGGAGCCAGTGCATCAGATGGTTCAGTGAGTATACTCCTACATTTTTAGAGAGCAGAGGACATGTTGAGTACACAGTCTTAGCAAAATAAAAAATGTTAATGAAGGTACTGGCATCATCCTACCACCACTCCCTGTGCTGGACATGTGCTGGATGTATCTGTTACCTTTGAATAAAGTAAAGCTTAAGGTGACTTTGTCAGTAGAGGAAGTGTTAAGGTTGTGGAGTTGAAACTGATTTCTTCATGGACATATTTGACACTGAGACCTTTAGGATGTTCTTAGTAGGTTGTGTTTTGAGAAAACAGTAGTGCAGCCTCTGCTATTGTAAAACAGAAGCCACAGAGTTCCAGGGCTATCAATGAGATGGCTTTCATAATGTTGATGCCTTTTATTAAGATTTGAGAGTTAGGAACAGTACTTTTATGTCTCCCATCTCCTTTTTACTGACTATAAAGATTAATTTCTAAAAATTATGACAGCATTTCTTCAGTTGCTGTAGCTTGTGGGGATTCATAGCTTAGTGATCTTAGGCCCTTCACTTAAGTCTTTTTTGTGATTTGTTGTTTTCACTTTGTGAATATTCAGCTTAGAAACATTATAAATTACACTGTGATCCATATACAAGTTAAGCTTGAAATGTAAGGCAGATTTCTGCCTGACTGTTGTAATCTCTTACAGGTTTGTGTCTTAGACCTTCGGAAATAGCGTTACTAGTTGGAAGCCATGGACCGACTATGAATGTGTACATAGCCACAAGACTATCCCTGACCTACATCCTGCTATAGTCCCACTTGAACCATGGCCAGTCCACTACAGCCAAATCTAAGAGAAATATATACATGCAGTATATATGAACACAGCTGTACCCTGAAGATGAGTCTCTTCCCAGCTTGTGAATTCTGCTCACCAAGTGCTGGGATCTAACCTGCTGTGCCCCTAAGTAGCATTTAGAAGTTTGGATATGAAAAGCAGAAGAGATGGAATATGCGTTATAAGAGCAAACCACACATGTACCAGTTTTGGATATTAATAACAGCCTTGTTTCTCTCTTTAAATCAGCCGACACCATGGATTATATTCTTTTTTTCCCTTCAGTAGTGCACAGTTTGTATGTACAGAGAACAAGGACTTAACAAAAACTCGCAGCGGTAGTTCGTTCTTCCTTTCAAGTTTGTTTTGGTTTAGATTATGGATGCATGAAGTAAGGGAGTGAATCATTTTCTTGCTTTTATTTTTCCTTACCTTTTAAAAAAAAATCTTAAAAATATTTTACTGCATTCTTTGGAAAGGTAGATGTTTGGTACATTTTATGGCTCCCAGAGCATATATTCATTTGATGCATATTGTGAAGGAGTTGGAATTAAAGGAAACCACATGATGCCTGTCATGTTACTCTCTAAGACACATCAGCAAAGGGTATTATGTTATCTTTCTTTTGGGGTTTTGTTTTTGTTTTATGTGTGTGCGTGTGTGTGTGTGAGAGAGAGAGAGAAATAATAGCTTAAGTAAAATAGTTTTTTCTTTGGGACGTATTTCTGCCAATTAAAGACTAGAAGGGCACAATTTTTTTTAAATACCATAAAGAAGAGACACTTTTTTTAAAAAAAAAATAATCTTCTGATGTTTTGCAGCCATAACTAAATTATGGTCAGAATATGCACTATTATGAGAACGAGCAACCTAGGATGGGGCTTTTTTTTTTCCTTTTTCTTCTTTTTTTAACCATTTGTCTGTTTTACTTATTTCTTAAGAGATTAAAATATTTCTGGATAAGGATTAGCTTCTCAAAGTGTCCATCATTCTGTATAGAAGCTTAAATATGTAATGTAACCCAGATTCCAGTATTAAAAATCTCTCATGTTATTTCTCTTTTTTACAAAGCAAGATTATGGCATATAACACTGCCATCACTTGGCAAAATGTTTGCTACCTTAGTTTTAAAAACAACTTTTAAAGGCTTGCTTAGAGGTTTCTGAGTAGCGGTGACTGAGAGTTCAGGGAGAACTGTGGCTGCTGTGCCACTCTGCCTGCATCTGTAGCTTCAAGGCTGCACTTTCTCAAGCAACGTAGATCTAAGCTGCTGTTTTCCAGTAATCACTACTATATCATGTCTTCTACTCTGTTCATATCAAGTATTTTTTAAAGATATAGGCATCCAATCAGATCTCTTCTTGTGCTCAGCTGAAAGTACAATATACCTACAGATATTCACTAGAGGCCATGTTTGCGAAGGTGCTTATTAACAGGAGAATCCCAGGTGTGTCGCTTCTGAAGAGAACAGTTGTCAAATTTATATCTTTAAATTTTTTATTAAGAAATTGCTTAGAAAATTTATAACACTATTTGCGTCACTAGTTCTTTTGAGGCCTTTGACTGCTGAGTCCCACCCTGTGTTTTGGTAAGCGTCTCGAACCCGGCCCTGCAGCCTCGATGCTCAGTATCTGCTGCTTTGTTCTTTGCAAAACAGCATTGATTGACGCAAGTCTTGTCTTCACTAAGGTAGGGTAGCATTTGCTTTTGGTAAAGAGGGTGAATACACTTAAATTTCACTATACATTGTTATATCTCCCCATTGTTCTTAGTGGGGTCTAGGATACTGTAATAATATTTTTAAAATTTACACCCAGAGAGGCAGTCGTTTATGGTTTGTGCCAGGTATTTTTAGGGTTGGATCCACTGAGATATGTAGAGCTCACTGCTCTGGGGCTCTGTAGGAAATCTACAATGCTGAGTATCTGGCACTTGTGATTCTGCTTATACTGAGAGGGTCACATCTGTTGGCCTCTGTTGTTGTTTAAAAAAAATAATAAAAATAAAAAATGTGTGCAATAATTTTTAAATGTGCTCCCAGGAATAGATACAAACGTTTGAGCATGCCTGCGCTGCGTTTCCTTCAGCGGTGCATTTCTCAGTTGCACTGAATCTAAGCGGAAGTCAGAGGTGGTTGCTGATTGTGCTTTGTATTTTGATATGACATTTTATTCATTTGCATACAGTCATTGACATTCTTCCCAGCTGATTCAAAGACAGTCACAAATTCCTGCAATACAGCTGCCAGAATGAGAGCTGAATTTTATGATGTTGTCTTGCTTCCTGTTGGGTGTTTGTTAGTTTGGTTTCTTTTCCTCCTTCTTTGGCTATTTTACTTCAGCACCTAACTATGACAGGATGTCTAACAGAGCGTCAGTGCAGAGCTTTCTGTCCCCAAGTCTTGGGTCTTGGATCTTTCCGGACAGACTTGTCTGAAGGTATGTTCATCTTTAGGCTGCTGGTGCTTTGTGAGCATAGTACCATGTGCTTTGCTGCTGCTGTCTCTGTCTCTGTAGCCTGCTGGCGTGCCACAATGCTGCTCCACAGATGCTGCACCATGTCTCTCCAGATGATCATGGGAGACCATGTTTCACAGCATATGAAGTTCTATCTTGGGGTTCTTACTTTCCCTCCTGTCTTTTTCTGAAGATCCCCAGAGTCCAGTACTCTTTCTATGGTGTTCATTTAAATCACTGTTTTTTGCTCTACGGTAAGGAACTTAATCATAAGGAAAAGAGAGCAAGGAGACTTAAATGAATACTCTTTGATTACCATTGAATAGAGGGAGCAGCTGCCACCCTTAGAAGGCATGAAGGAATCTCTCCTCGCCATGCTGGAGACATAGATTTGCCCCATTTCCTTTTTCCATGATCAGGTAATATTGACTTTCAGATGACTTTAGGAGTGGTAACTGGAATAGGTCTTAGAGTGTAGCAAATTCTGTTTTCATGAATTATTCTCTAGGTGAGTATGTTTTTAGGATTAAACACCTTTTGCAGTACTGAAAGTGCCTCCTTTTGTGGTATAAAAAAAAACAAATTATGGTGCAAAAAGTAATCAATAGACTGAATCACATGAAGGTTTTTTGCTTTTTGACATAAAAATGTCAAGAGACAGGCCAAAGATTTGTACTTTTCACTTATAAAGCACTCCTTTTTTTTCCTTAGGATTCTTTCTGTCGAATCAGATTTAATGAGAGAGTACTATTTTTAAGGAGCTATCTGTTAATGTAGAATGATTTTTGTTAAAAAGAGTACTGTAAAATATGAATAAGGAACAGAGGCCCACAGAGGATTGGGCATTGTAGTGTTGAAAGGAGTCACAAATGACCAGGCTTCTGCTAGCAGACATGACAGGTTTTAACAGATGCATAGGAAAACCATCTCAGACAGTGCTGTCTTGCTCTTTTAAAGACCATTTATGTTTTTGTGAGCACGTTGCATATTTCCCCAAAGCTTCATTCCCTTGAGCTAAGAGTGGTACTTGCATAGTTGCTGTAGAAATTCTGCCTGCGTGGACCAACATTGTGGCACACCAGCAAAAGCCAGCATTTCGGGGCTAGCAGCCAGCCTGCAGAGACCCTGGGAGTGATTTTTCGTTTGATTTTGGTTCCCTCCTTTTCTGATATCAGCGAGGAGGGAATGTTGAGCTCCTCCTTCTAGTAATAGCTCTGAAGTGTCTGTCATGTTTAATATCAGTTTTTAATACATGATTCTAGTTGAATATAGAAGAGAGAAAAAAAAAGGGAGTGGAGTGCTCACATTTTTTTTAATCCACTTATTTCGAATCTTGTGTCTTCTATATGAGTTCTGAGGTGTTCATAGCATTCTTTATTTCAGCCCTTCTGTGACAGTGTTGAAGCAGGTTGAATAACCAGGCTTTTGTTTGTTTGTTTAAAAAAAAAAAACCTAGCAGGCTATTTCATGTTTTCTTTGGAATTTCTGGATAAGTTGGAGGAAATGTTGTGCATGTCATATCTGGTGTACTTTTTCATCTCATTACAAGCAGGCAGACTTCTTTGTGTATCTCTGCCATCCTTAAATACAGAAGTGATTTCTCTCCTGACTTGGACATTATTGTTATATATAATGTTTTCATTTGGGTTTGGCAAATCCATTGGGTCTAATTCTGTGAGCATACCATAGCACTGGGTGGTGATGTCTGCATCCTCTCTTTAGTTCCCCAGTTAACTGTAAAGCTGTTGTAAAAGTATAAACCAGCCCGGGACAGTTTTTGTATATGTTAAAGAACTTTATTGTTCAGTTTTCATGATGATTGTGCAAGGAAGACTGATGCAGATGCCTGTCTCTCCTGGACCATGTCAATGACACTTACGATGTATTTTGGTTCCACATCACAGTGATTTGTCCCTAATGACCCTTTGACCCTTTCCAGGCACATTTTTTGTGTGTGTGTTGTTGTTGCAGTTTTCTCCTTTGCGTTGTATTGCTTTGACAACTGTAATTTGAATCAGATCTGAAAGAGGTCCAGAATAAAATATATTTTGATATTATGTTGGCTGTGTACATATATAAAACCTTTGCTCCCCATGTGGTTTGTAAAGACTATTTAGTCAAGTAAAGAGAGGGATGGTGGTGTTTGTTTACAATTTCCTGTTTACATTTCAATTGCTTTTATCTCCCACTAATCAGTGTAGAGTAAATGATTTTGCTCCAAGAGTCTTCCCTATTACAACCTCTCAGTCCTAGCTCTCACTGTCTCCAGTGAGTATAACTGCCATGGGAATCACTGTTTTCATAAACATTGTTTCCAAGATGTATACTTTAAAGAAGCCCATAGATGAAATTAAAGTTTTTGCTATTTTATTACTTCTTGCAGGGGATAAGATTTTTTAAAATGGAGGGATTATTTTCTATATTTGTTAAATAATAGCATGTAATAACTAAAAGATCATGATGACTCCTAAGTGATTTTGAAAATGTGATACTTTATTTAGAGGATTTCTCTCATGAATGAAGACTCGGGTTCACTGTTAGCTTCATATGCAGTGACACAAGACACACCACATGTGCCACTGAAGGCTTTCAGGGCAGGAGCTCCTCCACATAAACAAAGCGCACTGCAGTGGTTAGCTAATTGCTTATATTACTGCAAACATAATCTATGATGAAAGTCTCAAGGCACCCTTTCCAGCCTCGGTTACTCTCAACACTTTTGTAGTTACCAGAGACTTTTTCAGAATAGAACCATCGGACCTGTTCTTCATTTTTTTTAGTCAAGTTGCCTTCTCCATGTCCTCCACCTTTCTTTAGCTCCTCGATAGGAACAGGCAAATACAGCCTTGTCATGCTGTCACTGCAGTTACTAGAGCTAACAACCTTTAGTTTTCAAGCAGTTAACTTATATTGCATGGCATAGGTTGTTAATAGCATTCTGTTTTTATACTTTTCCAGAAAGCATTGGGCTGCCAAGGATTAGAGTCTGTATGAGCCTGAAGTTAAGCAGAAACTCATTGAGCCCAGCATTGCAGGGGGGGTTACTTTTTATTTCCTAGTTCTCATACTTTATCATGAATTAGGTTTCTTACCTACTATAATATGTAGCTGACTAGGTTAAAGTTTACTGGGTTTTATTTTTTCCTATATATTCACTTGAAAACTACAGTAGAAGAAAAGCCATTATGGACACTTGGTTTTGTGGTGCTTTTCTCTGCTGCACGCAGGCTCTGTTAACAGTGAAAATGTTTATCCTATGCTACCTTTTCCTGCATGCTTCTTTAAATGTCATCTACCAATGCTTAATTGTCCTAACTTGTAATATTTTTGTATTAAATTTTTTAGGAGTTCCTTGTAATTTCTTTATAATTTAAAATATATTAAACACAAAGTGTTTAGTAAAGTCCAGCTGACAATTACTAATGTTTCTTGGTTGTTGGGTTTATATGATCCAGAGGGAAGGGAAATTCTTTTAAAAACTAGGACCAATGGGTTGGAATTAGCACTGGACAGATTGGACTACCCTACAAGATGCCACTCTGCTGGCCAGGACAAGCACAGTTTGGGTGGCACTGCTCTGGGATCCCAGACCTGGAGACACCAGCTTGACAGTCTACATAATTCAGGAAAGTAAAACACCTGTGCATTGACTTTTGCATCACCTATTTTACATACAACCTTGGTCATTCGAGGAGACTTACAGGAGGAGGAAGAAAGCACAAGCCCCTGCATGATAAGTGGGGATGATACAGAGAAACCCCAAGATTATCAGAGCCAATGTAGTTTACCTGATCATGCCTAGGAGCTAAGTGCCTACATATCTGTTATCCTAGCATGTGGGAGGTGGGGTCAAGAAGTTCGGCTTCAAGGTCCCATGTCCAGTTTGAGGTTCCCCTCCATCCCAAAGAAAGAAAAATACTGTGTAGTATTAGTCTTGATATTTCTGACTGGGTTGGCAGAAATATTTCAATGTGGAGTAACATGCATGAAGAGTGAATAGTAACAGGTAATTAATTTTAACTTAAGAAAATAGTATACCTGGGCTTTTTGGATGAAAGAATGGAAGAGGTGAAGCCTATCATCATCATCCAGATAGGACCTCTCTTGGCCTCCTTAGCTGGCCTGGACCTTGAAGCAAGTATCGGGATTACATCTATGCACTTCGAATCCTTATTAAGCCCAGCCCATACATTCTGAAATCCTTCCTGCTTAGTTGCAAAATATTCAGGAGAAATCCTCTGAGGGAGCAGGTCCAAAACAGCAGGCCTGAGCCAGCAACCGGCCTGATGCAGCGACCTCCGCAGGAGCAGGTACAAAGGAGTGACTGCTGAGGGAGCAGACCCAAGCCAGAGACCTTCACCAGAGCAGGCCCAGGGCAGCAACCTCCATAGAAGCAGCTTGAACCAGTGGCCTCCAATGGTACATACCAAAGGCAATGACCTCCAAGGAACAGGTACATGGGAGCCACTGCTGAGGTAGCAAGTCTGAGCTAGAGACCTCTGCAGGACTGGGGATAAATCAGTGACCTCCCATCTTCACTGGAGCAGGCAGGCACCTGGCAGCAACTTTAATAAGGGAGTAACCCGAAACAGGACCTCTGCAGGAGCAGGCCCAAAAGTCCCCCCCCCCCCCAGGAACACTGAGCGACCTCCAGGAACAAAGTGACCTTCATGTTAACTGGGACCATGGCCCTGACTATACCATGAGGAGCAACCATCTGAGCCTTGGATCCACTTGCACCTGGAAGATTGATCACCAGAGACAAAGCCCCAAAAAACATCAGTCAGAGGAAAAGATGGGTAGATAAGGTAAGAACACACTCAACACCACTCAAAGCAACATGACACCAACAAAAACTAGTGGCCCTACATCAGCAAGACTTAAACACCCAAGTATAGATGAAGACAGAAAATTATCTAAAAAATTAGCTTTAGGAGAATGTTTGAGGCCCTTAAAGAGGAGATGAAAAAAATTCCTCAAAGAAATGAAGGAAAAGACAAAAAATTGGAGGAATCAATGAATCACTTTAAAAAAAAAAAAGCAAACAGATGAAGGAAATGATTGAAGACTTGAAAAACAAAGTAGAGACAATAAAACGGAATTCTGGAAAAGGAAATTATAAGAAAATGATCAGGAACCACAAATGCAAGTATAAACAGTATAAGAGATGGAAGAGAGAATCTCAAGTTCTGAAGATACAATAGAGGAAATAGACTCAGTGGTCAAAGAAAATATTAACAAAAGCTTAACACAATATCCAGGAAATATGGGACAGCATGAAAAGACAAAACTTAATAATAGGTATAGAAGAAGTCCAACTCAAAGGCACAGAAAATATATACAACAAAATTGGAAGAAAACTTTTCCAACATAAAGAAAAATATGCATATGAAGATACAGAATACCAAATAGACTAGATAAAAGGAAGAGTCCACTTACATAATAATCAAAACATTTAAGTGTACAGAATGAATATTACGAGGTGCAAAGAAAAAGGGCTAAATAACATAAAGGCAGATCTATCAGAATTACATCTAACTTCTCAATGGAAACAAAGCCAAAAGGTCCTGGTCAAAAGTTATGCAGACATTAAGAGACCGCGGGTGCCAGACCAGACTTCTATACCCAGCAAAACTTTGAATCACATTAGATGAACAAAACAAGATATTCCGTGACAGAACTAGATTTAACCAATACCTAGCCACAAACTCAGTCTTGCACAAAGTACCAGAAGAAAAATTCCAACCCAAGGAGGTTAGCTACATCCATAAAAGCATAGACAATAGAGGATCACACAACAGCAAATCCCAAAGAAGGGTGAAACACACAAAATATCAACAAAAACTAAAATGACAGGAACCACCAATCACTGGTTATAATATCCCTGAATATAAATGGACTCAACTCACCAGTAAAAAGACACAGGCTAACAGATTGGATACGAAAACAGAATCCATCCTTCTGCTGCATACACTAAACTCACTTCAACCTCAAAGACAGACATTGCTTCAGAGTAGAGGGTTGGGAAAAATTTTTTAATCAAATGGATCTAAGAAACAAGCTGGTGTAGCTATCCTAGACTTCAAACTAAATTCAATCAATAGAGACACGGATATTTCATATTAGCATATTAGTCACAGGAAAAAAAATCCATCAAGAGGAAATCCCAATACCCAACATTTATGCCCCAAATACACGGGCACCCTCATGTGTAAAAGAAACACTACTAAAACAAATCATATGTAAAACCCCACACACTAATAGTGGGAGATTTCAACACCTCATTCTTACCACTGGACAGGTCTGTCAGACAGAAAATTAACAGAGAAATAAGGGAACTAACATGATATTGCTCAAATAAACTTAACAGATATCTATAGAACATCCTATCCAAACAAAAGAATATACCTTCTCAGCACCTCATGGTAACTTCTCAAAAATGGAACGTGTACTAGACAACAAAGCTAACCACACCAAATACAAAAAAAAAAAATGGTGGATTTCCTTGACACATTTGTACGATGCAGGGATGGGTCAACATACAAAAATCTGTCAATGAAATACACCATATAAACAAGCTGAAAAATAAAAACCACATGATCATATCATTAGATGCCAAAAGAGCATTTGACAAAATACAACATACCTTCATGATAAAGGTCTTAGAGCAAGAATACAAGGAACGTAACTAAACATAAGGCAATATACAGCAAGCCAACATCAAACTAAATAGAAACTCCCAACGATTCCACTGAAATCATGAACAAGACAAGGTTGTCCACTTTCTCCATATCTATTCAATATAGTTCTTGAGGTCCTAGCTAGAGCAGTAATACACCAAAAAGATATGAAGGGGATACAAATTGAAAAAGAGTCAAATTCACTTGTTTGCTGATGATATGATAGTTTACATAATTGATCCCAAAAATTCTACCAAGGAACTTCTACAACTAATAAACACTTTCAGCAATGTAGCAGGATACAAGATTAACTCAAAAAAGATCAGTAGCCCTCCAGTACACAGATGATAAAAGGGCTGGGGAAGAAATCAGAGAAT